AACAGAAACGTAAAAGGAATCTAAAGTGGTCATGTGATGATGATCATAATTGATGCTCACAGGATAAATAGCCATCTGAGGTACTCATTGACTATACATCTGTTATAAGTTACAGTGAATTATTCCTCAAGAACATAGTATTTATTACCTCCACTGAGAAGATTGTATTTTCGTTTGTGTTTCTTTGCTAGTTGCCAGTATTGCACAAAAACTAGCAAGAAACTTGCTGGAAGGATGTAGTAGCCTATGGGTCAGGGAAGAACCTATTGAATATTGGTGTAGATCTGGATCATGGGGCAGATGTAGGATATGGATTTAGTAATAGGCTGAAATGTATACCACTCACTCATGGTAGACGAGGTGTATCAGCAAAATGCTAATAGAATTTAGAAGGTAGAATAGAGATGAACAGTGGTTGTAAATGGAATCAGTAGCAGATTTGCTCTTGCAGATGAAGACAGGCAAGAGGTCTTGACACACAATTTTATATTTATTAAGCATCTTCTCAGCCAGACAGTATTTTACATGCAACAGGTAAATAAGCCATTTGTACACTTCACTACTTTTGTTTCCTAGAGTCCTGTGGATTCAAATATGGACAAGTACACTTCCTTTCTTATTACCAATTTCTGTGATCTTGATTTTAATTAATTGTATCTTTTTTAACACAATTGCCTTTTGTCTTTACTTTAACTTCACATTATACCCTTTGCTAGTTTCATGTTTTTTTTTAAAATCTTAAGTGTTTGTTCTATATGATTTTTATCGAAAAGCACTTTGAGCAGCATTCTATGTATGGAAGGTGCTGAATAAATAAAATGTATTATTATTATAATGACGTTGACACTGTTTAAATGGTTGATACTAAGAGATACTGGAGTTACCTGAATTTAAGAGCATTTTTAAGTGAAAAGAAGTTAGTCTTTTAGTTTGTGAGTGGCAGATCAACATAGTACAACCAATGTCAGAAGTGTAAGTGCAATTTGTATATAGTAATTTATCTTTACTTTATATTCTTCACTTGTCATGCTTGTTTGATTGTCTTGCTGCTGCAACGCTATTCATTTCTCAATCTTGGGACAATAAAGGAATTCTGATTCTGATTCTGATTCTAGTTCGCTTGTCTCTCAGCTGTGAACTTTACAGACGGTCCCTGACTCATTATCGTAAAGTGGTATCCGGCTCGCGTCATTTTTTTTTTTATTTCCCGCAAACTTCCCGGTGGAAACGAGCTCGTAGTCGCTTGTCGGACGAACCCGGAAGTGTGGCCCATGTGTTGTGTCATGTGCAGTCTGTGTCACAGCCACAGTTTGGTTTGACGAGTGATGATGTCACCTGCAGCTTCACATCCTGGTTCACGTCTGTTCGCTCCGACATGAAACGAAGAGGCGCCTACAGGTTCCTGTCGGTGTTCTCCTGCTTCGTCGTCTGCGCCTTCTTGTTTTTATTTTGGTTCTTCATATTTTACTCCATGGTGCAGGCACCGTGAAGTAAAGAGACACATTTCTGCCGCGGTTTGCTAACCTGGGATAGCCCGACGAGCTAATTACCCACACTGCACTGCTTTATTGACAACATCCCCGGCTTGTCACATGATCACCCTAACCAGGAAGTCAAGATTTTCTGGTAAGTAACCTCGGCTTCTTGAAATGTTCACAAAGAAAGCGCGTGTCTGGTTTGTTTGATATCTGGGTTGTGATGCAGTTAGTCAGTCACTGGTGATGTGTAGATACTGGTCGTGTTAAAAAGTGTTGCAGGAGAAGGAGCTGCTTCCTTCATGTGTCTGTGTTCACTCACTGATCAGTAACTGTTTCGAAGTCCTCACACAGGAAATATGGAGTTACAACATACGTTCACTTTACTGTGAAGCCCCAAAGTGTTGAAGGTGTTTCCCTGTTAAAAATCATCTGAATAAAACAAGAATGGTTGGACCTTCACACCAGTATGTGTCAAGATGTTTACATCAGGGTGACTGCTTGATATACAATATGTCTACTCACATATTCTACCATTACTGACAATAACGCCTCAGTTCATTTGTCTTTGCTGCTCCCTTCATCTCTATTAGACATTTTCTTCTTGGACACGGTTTCTCTTAAACTGTTTCTTCTAATCGATGTTGTAAATACTGTTATTTTGTTGGTGTGTTCAGTTACACGTGGCATCTATTGCACTTCTGTCCGTCCTGGGAGAGAGATCCCTCACACGTGTCTCTCTAAGGTTTCTACGTTGTTCTCCTGTTAATATGTGTTTTTTGGGTAGTTTTTCTCTTGTTGAGGGTGAAGAACATTGGATATCGCACCCTGCTAAGCTCTATGAGACATTGTGATTTGTGAATATGGGCTATATAAATAAAATTTGATTGACACATCAATGGGCAGTTTAATAAGCAGTGTAAGAAGTAATGATATGCCAAAACCTTTGTTCATTCCTACAAAAGACATTTCAACATGTCACCTTTGTCCTCTGGGAAACTGGGATGGACATTTTAGCAATTTTGTCACATTTTAATGATGCGCAACCAGTCAAATAATAATAATTAAAATTATTGTTTCAGACCCAGAAATTTATCAGGGTTGTCTATGTAGTCTGGACAGTACACAATTTTCAATTTTAGTCTACATGTATCTACATCACAGATTCACAAATTACACTGACATCAAAATCTGTAGAACATATGAGACTCCCCATGATTGATTTTGTACCTTGTTACTGTTTGCTTCATTGATTGCAATAACAAACGGAATCATTAGAGGTCCTGAGCTCAGAAGTTGGTTGTGTGTTTGTGAAGTTCCAAATTTATGACAGTGAGTGTAACCTTCATACTGTTTGTGTGTCATGACAGATTACACAGCCATCAAGAAACCTACAGTTGTTTCATTGCACAATTAGAACCCTGGTAGTAAAGTTGTGATGGCGTCTGACACCAGTGGAGCAGCGTCCTCTGCTGCGGACCTCAAGCTGCAGTTTGCTCCCTTCAGCAGCGCCCTGGAGGCAGGTTTCTGGCACCAGCTCACTCAGAAGAAACTCAATGAGTACAGGCTGGATGAGAGCCCAAAATGTATCAAAGGCTACTACTACAATGGTGAGCAGTTGCGGTCAGAGGGTATCATTATAACGATGGCTCTCCAGTTTATGTTTTATGCATATTATGTAGTGCCAGAAAGAATGAGCTAATTTAAAATCTTTACATTTATTCATATTTCTGTCTCACAGGTGACCCCGTTGGTTTGCCCACACGCCTGACTTTGGAGTTCAGTGCATTTGATGCGTAAGTGTGATGCAATATAGGCTATTGCCAAACTTAACATTATCTGAATCAGAAGTTCTTCTGTTGCTACTGAATTTTTAAAGCTCATCGATCAAACAAATATCAATAAAAAGATGGAGCCAATGAAAATAATTTGGAACGTGCCACCGCTCTCAAAAATGATAGAGAAGAGTTTTAATAAAAATCAATATTTTTAAAGACAACAACTAGATCTAGGTTATGAATGATTTCTCTTTTTGGAACTATAGATGTAGACAAGGCCTTTATTTCAATTATATATATTTATCTAGGTACAGCAAAGTGAAGCTCTCATTGTAAAGTCAATATGGAATGGGTTTATTTATTATAACTTTAAAGTTAAAGGATGTTCATTCAGTTTAATGAGAATGTGTTTTTTTTTCTGTCAGGGATGGTCCCACCCCAGCCCATTGCTGTCCAGCTATTGGAACTCTGTATAACACCAACACACTTGATGCCTTTAAGACGACTGATAAGAAGGCTCTGCTAGAGAAAGAGGCCAAAGAGGTAAAAGATGTGCAGTGGAATATTTCCAAGACACTAAAATAGTCCTTTAAAAAATGAATTGAAACAATGGACTCAAAGTTTTGTAATAGATAATGACATGATTTAAAGTTAAATATTCGTCTCCTGCTGTGTTGTAGATATGGGATGACATCCAGTCTGGAGCTGCGTTGAAGGACCCATCCATCCTCTCCAGATTCAGTCTGTTGACCTTTGCAGTGCGTGTAAACAGTATATTATAAATGAGTTTGTTCCATATGTCAATGATATTATGTGTCACCAGCTTTCTGTTTTTCTGTATTTTTTCTTGCTATTTACTCCACTTTGTGACCACATCTTTTCCAGGACTTAAAGAAGTACCACTTTTATTATTGGTTCTGCTTCCCTGCACTCTGCTTCCCGGAGGCAATAAAGATGATCCAGCAGCCTTCTGTCCTCGAGCAAGTTTTCTCAGCAAAACAGGTAGAAATTTTGCCAGAACACTTTTAATTAGTTAAATTCAGCATTGGTTCCTTCTGTTTTCTAAATTAGAATATTGACATGGTTTTCTCAAAGTGGTGATGGTACAAATTCTTATGCTTTATGATCAGAGTAAAAAATGTGGGGCATTCCCATTCCTTTTTAATTTCTTTTTTTTGTAAGACCTCTTTCCTTTGAAAAAAGCAGCTTCTTGAAGAGTGATGTAATACTAATATAGTGTCTAAGTGTGTACAGGTTCTAGAACAGAATAAAACCCCCCATTAGAAGAAAACATTCCCTCGATGTACATGAGAACAAAGACCATGGCACAGATTATAAGCTCATTATATCTTTATGAATGATTCATTCTTAGGTAGTGGAAATTATGTTTTGAGACATGGTTATGTCTGAGGTTCCACTTTACTTGTATTTGTTTGACTTACTGATAAAAACGCCTCTATTATTTAAATGTTCCTGAGCCTGGCCTAGTTTATATAATTTAAACATGCTTAACATAATTATAAACTGTTTATGAGTGATATTATGTAAACTATAATTTACACCATTGTTAGTTCTATTTACAAACAAATATCTTAGAATTGTGGATATCCTGCCTCTGTAAACCTCAGCAGTACCACAAGGTACATTGAACAGTGTGGATGTACAAAGCTACATATTTGTGTTGCCTCATTATTTCTGTCTCAGATCGCAGCCTTGCAGGAGGCCTATGACGCCCTGGGGATCAAAAGAGGAACCAGTGCTGTTCCTTATTTCCTAATGAAGTACACAGATGACACAGTTCAGCTGGCTCCCCTTGGGGACTGGGATACTTTCTTCACTGATA